TGTGTGTGTGTGTTTGCACGCGTGCGCGTGCACATGGGAAGGAGCATAATGTATGAGACATTCGTGTATCTTGGGTGCCAGGCAATGGTGGCAGGAAAAAAAAATTTGCAGTGAAATGAAATTTTAAAACACTAATAAATAATTTAACAATAACATGTAATTAAGTTAAAGAAAATAATAAAATAATCAAATCTACATACATTATGGTGGTTTGTCACCAACACAAAGGACCAGAGAATCCAGGGTGAGAGGCAGCTGGTTAAGTATGAGAGAGCATAGTCTTTTTTTTTTTTTTTTTTTTTTTTTACAAGTTAAACAAATTGTAACAGACAGCTACAAAATACTACCTTTTGATAACATAAATACAGAATATATAAATATACAATACAGCCATACACAGCTAAAAAATAGGGTGTTCACTTAAAAACAGAGATCCCAATGCAAAGTATGTGGCAGTCCCTTCACAGTCACTGCTGAGCAGAACAGGGGTGTAGAGCTGAGGGGACCTGAGCTGCAGCTCGAGGAGGGCAAACATGTCTGTTTATTCAGATCAGCCTCAAATGAGCAAGGCTATGATTAAATCCCACCAAAGCCAAAAGCTCTTGGGCACCCCAGCCCCCAGGGTGGGGATGGCCAGAGCCCTGTACCCTACTGTGGCTGCAGCTCAGTTGTCCTGACCCACCAGGGCCAGGAGGGGCTGCAGATGGACCCGCACACGCGGGGAGTGTCCATGTGTCATGGGGCAGCATGAAGCACCACTTAAGACTTTGGGCGCTGTGGGTCCAGCTCCCATGGCTTTGATGTGCTTCGGCGGCCTTGCTGTCCTCTGACTGTTGTGACCAAGCTCCAGGCTTATAAGAACCCATCACCTCCTCCTGGATTCTGCTGTTAATTTCTAGCAACTTTTGAGGATAACCAGAATCCTTGTGACACAGTTCAAAGTGCTCTCACAAGCCCCGGTTTGCAGGATCTCTGGGAACATCATGGAGCCAGGTTCCCTGCGGCACCTGGGCCGGTGGCTTGGGATACACTTCTGTTCCTTAAAGAAACTGGAAGGGAGAGTCCTGAGCACAGTAGGAAGAGGTAAGTGGGTTCACATCATTCCTGGAAGGTTTGCTGGCATGCAGGACCTTCCTCAAACCGTGACGTGCAGCAGGGTGGCTCAGTTGCTGCTTATCCAGAACTGGCAACACTTGTGCAGGGTTGGTCTGAACATCCATGACTCACATGAGTCACATCTCAGGCATGGTTAGCAGCAACTAAGCCAAGTGACCTGGGTGCTTTGATGACAGTTTAAAAGAAGAAAAGGAGATCAAACTGCCAAGGATGGTGCTTCACTCTTACCAGGCACAACCACCACACTTCCCTTACAGCAGCATAATTGTCTACCATGTCGTGACTGTGAAACTCATTGACCACCACCCCCTAACTGCTTACAGCCCAGAGTTTAATCCCCAGTGCTGTGGGAAATGGAGGGCTGAGGATAGCCATGCATGGTGGGAATTGTCTCCTCAGCAGCCAGCTGTGTAAGGGGAAGGTGCTGCTTCCCAGCATGGGCACCAGCCACCACTGCCCAGCATCAGGAAACCTCCATGTCCCACCACGGCAGTGCTGGGAACTGCACACCAGACCCCTGAGGAAGTAAGTACCTAGCATATTCATCCTGACCTCACAATCATATTTCTAAACATTATTGAGAGGACACCAAAATCTCATCAATCATATTTTACTTAATTGCATCTTGTCACCACTTCAGCTTAACATGTAGTCCTTGTTTAACCAAGACAACACGACTGAAGCACTGTGCAGAGCTCACTTGATGCGTTTATGTGGGAGAGGGGTTAACAGCCTAGGGAAAATGATCACTGTAAGGTGCATGTAATAAACTGCTGTCATGACCTCTAGCCTTCAAGCTCCCATGTGCAATCATTGTTTGTGGTTTCCGTTGAAGTGCCAGATGCTAAGAATTTTGGCAAGAGTTTATCAATTTGACTCAGTGTAAGATATTGCTGTGATATGGCCCATTAACCATTTTACTTTTACCTGATCAGTGACATTTCCCTTGACGAAAGAAGAGTAAAGCAGAAATCAAAAAGGTCAGAGGTTGCTATATAATCTTTTACTGCAGGTCCCAGGTTAAAACCACAATGATCACACTCCAGTAGGATAATTCATTCCACAAAAAAAAGTGACATTTATTTTGCTTTAATGAACTTTGGCCTTTGCCAGATATAAGGGATCCGCTGGAAATCATTGGCTATGCATTCCTTCCCTTGACCAGCAGCAACCCACAGCAGCATGGGAAACATTACACACACCAGAAGGCTTGACTGTATCGTGCACGTGGCACCAGAGATGGCAGAATATGGGGAGCAGCTAAGGCATCATCATACAACACACCAAGGGAAGAGGAAATGGTAAGTACAAGCAATGAAAAAAAAAAAGGTGACAGTAATTAAAAAAAACCTGCAAAATATTATGGTTACTTCAGCTATAAAATGGGATATCTGATTATTTCCTTGGAAATGGATTGTTTTTTCAACATCCAGCCCAGAAGCAGAGGTAGAGTTGGGACATGGCAGTTCTGCAAACTGTAGGTCACATTATAGTTCTCATGCAAGTCCCTGTAAACACTAAAAATGTCATTTTAATTCTGCCAGTAATGAGGGGTGAAGCAAGGTTGTACCTATGTGTACAGTCTATAAACCTGGTATGTTTGAGATGGTGAAGATGCTATGACTAAAGTAGCACAGAAGGGTGGGGAGGAAAAGCTGACAAATTCATTGAGACTGGCGGTGACAAATATTTATAATGTGCCACATGAAATGTGCTTGCCTGCTGCCGTGCAAGCAGTGAGGATCACCTGAGTTCTTTATAGATGTTTGCTATCATGGAAAGAGAAAGGAAATTGTTATTTGATAAAACAAGAAAAAAATAATTCAAGGGGATGGGTAAGAAAATAAAATTCTTCCAATTTCAAAACATCCAGGGGCTCACAACCTTCCACTGAAAATCCACATCCCTGTCAGAGAGGACGGTCAGTAGCGAAAGTACACAGGTGGGACAGACCCCTCTTCCTGGGCACAGCTGCTGTGGAGGGAGGGACCAGCAAGGAGGGGAGTGTCCCCAGTATCCCTGCAGAGCCCCCGGTGCCCTTGTGGGCAGGGCCGTGGAGGGCAGGCAGGAACTCCCCAAAGAGGGGTTGCCTTGGCCTGTGCTTAGCTCTCCTGCACTGCCCCAGGATGCTTCTCCCCCAGTGCTCTCCTCACCTCCACAGAGTGAAAACATACACAGTGATCTTGCGGAGAAAACTTTGCTGCCTCAAGAAACCTGCAACATGCTTGGTCCACATTTCCATGCTGGGGGGGAATGTGGTTTTACTTCTTCCCTTGGATCTATCACTGGATCCTTGCCATCCGCTCCTCCAGGTCACAGGACAGACCTTTCTCAGTCAGCAAAGGGGGCAGCTGCCCACAGGGCTCCCCAACAGGAGCCCTCCCTATGCTGAGGTGTCCCAGGGGATACTGAGGCTGTGGGGACCCCACTCCAGCCTCCCACCACAACAGGAGCCCCAAAGTCCCAGGCTCCTGCAGAAGGTGCCGAGTCCCATGAAGACTCTGTAGCACTGGCCTGAAACCAGTCCTCAGTCTGGAAGAGTTGGATTAACCAATGCTTTGGACTTGTTTTCAGCTATTATGGTCAATATATTAAAGGTATTTATTTAAGAAAGTGCCTATCCTGCCAATCTTTCCCCATGAGCTCTATTTTGAACACACCCTATAATTACTGATATTACCCTGGCAAATTTTCCCCATGAAGTTTTCTCCACTAAGAGCCATGACCATACTTGTCTGCCTCTCCACATTATAATTATCACCAGGCAATATTTATAACTATACTACTATTATTTCTGGTATTTTATGCCCTACATAAACCTATATGACATATGCTCAAACTTCAGCATCTGAGACATTCAGGCTTCAGCTGGGACATTCCCTTCAATTTGTGTACTTGTTCTCCTTACATTTGCACTAACAGGTTAGTTGGAGCATTTACTCTAAATGCAGGCACCCCATCAGTGTGAAACTTGCAGGACTTGGGTTAGACTTCAGCTCAAGATACCTAAACTTCCCATTGGGATCTCTTTCATACCTTTTTTTTCCCAGTTGGTGCACATTTCAGGACTTCCGATGGTTCAGGCTATAACTGTATATCATAGCTTCTTGCTGAGGCGAGATAATGAACTAAAGGAGTTCTTAATTATTCCAGATGGACAATGGAGCATAGCACATTTATGCCTCATGCAAAACATAAATAAACAGAACAGAATGAACAACACATTTGCCAATCATGGTCTAGACTTAAAATCTGGCACTGCAATACTTACAAACAAATGTAAATGTTTTAATCTCACACTCTTTTAAAAAAAAAAAAATTAAATAAAACTCTGCCTTGTAAGCACCTTTAGTTTTAACTAAAGATCAATACTAACCTAAATGCCTCTGTCCCTAACATGCATCTCCTCTCCCAGGTCATAGACCTTTCTTATTAAGAAATCACTGGCTTTCTCCACAAATATTACTGTTAACCAGTTTCCTCAGAATCTTATGCATAAGGGCTATAAACTAATGAGCAGATCTAGGTTATGTAGAAGAAGTGTAGAAAGGAAACAAATGTTGAACGTCACATTTACATTAACTTCTCACAGTTCAAATGGCAATTTATCCACAACATAGTATGAATCATGCAGTAAGAAAAGGGAGGGATCTCCAGTTTCTTTGATTTATTTGTCATATGGTTGACTGATGTCAGTATCAGTGGCTTTAAAAAAAAAAAAGTTTAAACATCCAAAAGAAAGGGAGAGAAAGCAGGCAAAGGTCTAGCTTTCCGCAAAAATCCATTTCCTTTACGATGAGCTCAACCAAACCAAACCAAGGGCTGCTGAAGAGCAGGGTCTTCTGTTCCTTCCGTGCTTGTCTTGTGGTCTGGTGCAAACTGGGAATCAAGGGTATGGGACTGGTGGGTGCATTTTGTTAGACAATATATATGTATGTATGTAGGTAGGTATTAATATATATACACATACATACACATATATGCACACAGATCAGTCTTCCTAAAAATGCTCTTTGCAGTCCAGAGGCAGCAGGAGTCACTGTGAAGGAAGAGCTGGGCAACATATGGCTGTAGAGTCTGCACTGGAAAAAGTCACTGGCTAAATACACGCCGGCTGTTTGTTTTCTTTTATTTTCATGAGGCGAAATAGGAGCTCTGCATAGAGTACAGCCTGTCAATGGGGTTTCCTACTCTAGCCTGCATGGAGTTAACTTCAGAAGAGGCAAGAAAACAGTCGCTCAAGCTAGTTAAAGAGGTATCACTGTCGATATCATGAAAAATGGAGTCGTTTCCTGCAAATGAAACGTATATGTTAAGCTGGATTCTGGTCAGCCAGAGGACACAGTACACACGGGTGCTTGTATGCACACCCTGCAGCAAAGGGAACACACCTGCTCTCGTTTTCACACAAAAGAGTCATCTTGCTCTAAGGATCTTACCTACAAAGAGGAAGACTAGCAACCAGCTCACAGCAGTGCCACACAAAACTGCCAGGATTTAATTTATACTTCAGTCCACAGCACAAATCTTGGCTGACAATGTGAGCACATGGTGCCGGGGAGGAATAGGACCCAGCATCCCTGGGGGCACTGGGGCACCAGCCACCAAGTGCTGGTGACTGGAAAAAAGAGGTCTGAGAGCCATAAACAGTAACAGTGTGCATTTACACATAAGGTAAAAGAACTACAAATGCAACAGGACCCAGAAGACCCAGCTTCCCTGGCCTTAAGTGAGCTACAGTTGTAGACATCCTTTCATTTCAGAAAAGTCCACTCCTTTGGAGCTGGTCTGAAACTGCACCCTTTATTTCCCTTAGGAACTAAGCCTTCAGTTTACCTCAACTCTCAAGGATACCAGAAAGAGCTCTAACTCAAGTGCTGTGAGCAGTAAGAAAATGTTAGTCTAGCTCTTTTTTCCCATGCACTCATGGGAAAAGGCTTTGTGCTCCTCCTGCATGGGTTTTGGAGCACAGGACCTGCCTCTCAAGGAGTTGTGCTTAAAAAGCCAAGCAAAATGCTAGCAACAAAATCACAAGCTATCTAATGTTCATTTGCACTACAGAGGTCCTCAGCTCCTCACAGGATTTATCGAAGTGCCTGGTGTATACTGTGGACTTCTCTCAGTAGGTAAAGTAATAACTCAAACCCAGAGCAGGTGTCTTGTTGGCCTGTGCACTCCGTGCTCACGACAGCAAGATGCACGTGGACCCTACGGTGACCTGCTCCAGGGCAGCAGAAACAAGTCTGATGTAACAGGCCCTTGTGGGCCACAGCAAGGCCGATAATCACAGCCTGAGAAATTCTCTTACATTTTATTTAACTGTCACGCTGCAATTGTCTAGAATCAACTACTAGGCATTTAATGCTGCAATGCATTTGGCGTAGCTATTCACTTGATGGTGTGTGGTCAAGAAATTGTGAAAGCAAATCATCTTGATTTTAGGCAGAGAATAAAATTATGCAGGAGAAATGTCCTGTGGTGACATATCTCGTAGCAGTTCAAGAACTGTCCTTGAACAGATCCATACATCCCATCTGATGGTGGTGCTTATCCATTTTGGAATGAATAGAGTGCTTCTCTTTATTAGACCACTCTTCAAGGCACTTTTTCCTCAAATCTTCTAAGAAAAAGTAAAAACTTATGAGGGAGCTAGCATTTATTTCTAAATGTCTCAGACAGTGGTTTAAGGAGGGAGCTAGCATTTGGTACTGTTTATTTCTAAATGTCTCAGACAGTGGTTTAAAAAAGTGGAGCTGGAGAGGCGATGCTGCTTAGTTTATCATTTATCAGAATTATACTGTGAAATAGTTATGAAGGATGTTCAGAGCCTGGGATGAACTCCCTTCTAACACGTGTACATGAAAATAAACACAAGACTGACTGGTACAAATTTCCTGGAGAAAACCCCCCCAAAAATATTAGAAAAGCAAGTAGCTTTACTGACCCTGCGGTGAGTGACTGAGCATAGAACCCTGCTACTCCTGCTGCGGCAGAAGGATGCATGCCTTACCATAGGGGTTCATGTGGTCGCCTGGCATTTGTGGAGGGGTAAGACCCTGCTGAAATGGGTCTGTGCCATAACTGCTCTGATCCATTGCTACAATCTGCTGCTGTGGTGGTGCAAGTGGTGTGTAAGATGTCATCATCCCTTCCATCCGGTTGGACATCACTTCTGCAAAGCAAACAGGAGGACATGGTCACTGCTGGGAACAGAGAAGTGGCAGCACCAGAAGCAACACTAGACCTGAGCACAGAGGAACACAGCTACGTGTGTCCTGCCATTCACAGGAGCCTTCCAAACTTTGGCTGGGATACAGCCCTGAGCAGTAAGTTGAAAGATTTGTAATTTCTGACTAGACCATTTCTGGAGCTCCTGGGTGCTGCACTGGATCTTACCAAAGTCTGTCCTGTGACTAACGTGGCCCTTTTAGTCCCATACTTCTGTTGGTACCAGTTGTTCTGGCTCTATGGAAAGAGGAGGATTTGAGCCTGCAAGGCCTGGGAAGTTGGGGAACCTCTAGAGCATCCATGCAGCAGCAGGGCAAGCCCTGGTGCAGCTCCTGCCCAGGAGGGGTCCCTGTGCCCCAGATGCAGCATGGATGCAGATGCCCCTGCAGGCAGCCTGCAGATGCCCAGCTGAGCCTGGCCCTTCTTCAGGGGAAAACAAACTGGAGGATCTACCTTTCCAGGAGTAAGCCTCTTGGAAAGCGCCTCTGTACTGCACATTTCTTCTAGAAAAGGAATAACAGCTCCTCTGTAAGCACCTCCAGGTCTGGCCACATGGGAGAACTCTGGGATAAGCTGGGGTGGGCTCTTGGACACAGCACCGCTGTGTGCTTCCCTGGCCGATGGCACACGATACCTGTAGACCTGTGCACAACTGTTTGGCTGTCCTGACACTGTGTGGGAATGGCACTTCAAGAAATCGCAGATTCTCTTCCCCTTGCTCTGCCTTCATCACAAATGCCCTACCTTGCCCCAGTCGCTGCGAGTTCTGCTGCTCCTGCTGTTGCTGATGCCTTCGTGCTAGTTTTTTCATCTGAGTAAAGCAGGAAAAATGGAACAATCTCATGGCTCTGCATGCAACAACTTTGTTTCCTTATAAAACTCTCTGCAAACATTGAACCAATTAATGCAGAACATTTATATTCATGCACACATCACTGTGGATTCAGCTTCATTTCTAATTTAAACATTTCAGTTTCCAATTCATATTTGCATGCAAAATTTTTACTTGCAACTTCATATTGCTCTGAGCACATGAACTTAGTGTCTGTGTTTGAAAGTTGCATTTCTTGTGTGGATGCAGACAGCAGTGCATGCAAAATATGAACAGTTCAGTCCCTGGGATCAGATCTCTGGTACGTACTACACGTAGGAGGAGGCAAAAATCTGGGTCGGACAACAATTTGTGTATTACTTTTGAGAAACTGACAAACAACCTACCTTTGCTCTTTGGTTTTGAAACCAGACCTGGACAACCCGCACACTGAGTCCTGTTTCAGCTGCTAGTGTTTCTCTGACCTACAGAAAGAAACGCTTAATGATGCCATGTAATTCCTTTTTTAAAAAAAAACCTCATCAGTCATGTTAGAAGGAGTATGTCTGTACTTAAAACAAAAACTGAAGCTACAGAATTTATTTTTAAAATTCCCCATATTTTTGCATAGTTTGTTCAAGTTCTGTCCTTCATGTTGCTACAAGTTTCGTAAGAACTGAACAAATAGTCTGAGCTGTGCAAAATGAGACTAAGTCATTTCATTATTTTTATTTTACCCATAAAACAGTTCTGTGCAAAACAGGTAACAAATTTGGCTAGGGACAATTTTCGTAGCGTTAAGATACAATTCCACACTTAAAAATGTGAAGAAGGCACATTGCACTGTTCCAAAAGACACCCTTTGTATGCCAGCAGGAGAATGTAACTTTTTGCAAAACCAACAGCTTTCAGGATGCAACTCTGCTTTTTTTTTTCTCCCATTACACTTAGGGTAAGCAGTTACCTGGGCTGCCTTCCACAAAGACTGAGCAGCTTTGTCAGTGCAGCGATATCTGTACTTTTCCCTGGCTGCTCCACACAAGTTAACAGCAGGGTTCAGTTTCATAAAAAGCCAGACTGAAGGAAAAACAGTGGGACCAAAGCCAAGCACCCACCTCCCTGGACAGTGATTCCCTCTGGGATGGGATGGAGAAGGACAAAAGCCACTTGTTTACCTGGGCTCTGATAGCCTAAGACTACTTCATGGTTTAGAAACACAAAATATTGCTGTTCAGCAGGAATCAGACAGGGAGCTGCTCTACACACTGGGAGGAGCACCCAGAAAGAGCAGTGAGCTGGTCCTCAGCTGACATGGCACTGGGGTGAGCGTGGCCACACACTGGCCTGGTTCCTGCACTCACCCCAGAGCACCTGCTGCCCTGTCACCCCCATGACCTGGTGTCAGAGCTGACTTCAGGTTCCTGAATAAGCACCTACCTTCCTACAGGGCTTGGAAGACACTTCAAAGGATGCTTTGAATGCTCGTCTCTGCTGTGTGGTAAGTATCGTCCTTGGCCGTTTGGGTCTTCTTGGGTCCTTCCCATCATCACTTCCTTTTCCTTGGGTAACTTGGCCTTTGGTGGGCTTAACATCTCCATCTTCATCATCGCTTTTAACTGGTGTAAGAAAAACCAAACAAAACAGGATATAAAATTGTCCTTGTTCCACCAAAGTAACAGGATGTTTAAGAACTGCTCTTCAGCTGCCAAACTAGTCAACAGGTTCAACTATTATCCCACGCTTACCTGAATAGCTAGAGCAACTGGAGGCAGGAAGAGACTTAGATTTCTCTGCATTGCCTAAATCAACTGCTCCAAGAGCTTAAGAAAGTGTTTAATTTTTATTGAGGGCATGGGACTGTTCAGGGGCTGGAAAATCAGAATATGCTTCAGTACTTCCAGGAATTGGGCACAGAGAGAGACTTCCCCACACCACTTGGTTCCCTGAGCTCACCTGCTGCCACTGCCTCAACCGACACACGTCCCCTCCCAGAGCACAGATGTGGCAGCTGCACAGTGTAAATGCAAATATCACAACAATATCCAAGTCTGTTTAGCTAAGTATAGTGCAGATTCCAGATAATGTTCTGAATATTTTGAAGCTCTAGAAATAATCTTAAATACAATCTTTGCCATCTCATTTCTGCATCCCACAGAAAACATCAGCTCTCTTTCTCTGTGTATTTCACTATGTCTATATATGCACACACAGATTTGTCTTTCTTGGTAAACATAGAAAAATATACATGTGCTTGTGTAAACCAAGTATTTTAAATAGTTAAATTCTAAACATTTGTAAAGTCTGGTGATGCTATGTGTGTTAGTATATTGTACTTGGAAATCTTAATCTCAGTGGCAAAGGTTGAAGAGTAAATAGAATTTTTTTTTGTGAAAAACACCTTTTCAATTCAGCATATTTTACCAGATTACTTATCTCTCTTCCAGAAAACATTAATACACTTTTATAGGGACTTCAGCATAAAGAAACACATTGCAATTTTTATAAACTCAAAGATGACGTTTGGGGAATTAACAAATTAGGCTTTAATTCATTTTAGGGTCTGATTATTACATACCTAGCAATCTAATCACCTTTTACTTTAATAAGCATCTTTTGCCTAATGATTAAAGAGAAGTTAAGTCATTTTAATAACCATGACATTATTAACTTTCCAGTGTGCCATTTCTAAGGAAAGGTTTGTGAGGATTAATATTGCTCATTGGAGAGTTACTTTTGTGTCCAGTGGATAAATATTTGATTGCAGAACGACACATTCTCAGCCAGGGCTATATGAAATCATTTGCTCTCCGACAGGCATCTGGGAGAGCTGTGTTTTCAGTTTTGTTTCAATGGGAGACAAAACATCCCATTTAATTTGTCAACTTGTTTTTCAGGTTTGGGTTTGGCTAACACAGACTAATGAGGAAAAAAAGCATCTCCAGGAGTGAGAAACTACCCCTTGTGCCAAGGGGAAATGAAATTGGAAGCCAAATTGTTTTGTGCAGCTGTGGCAGCTTTCTGCTGATCACAACACAGCGACTCTGGTCCTGACCCGTGCCCAGGGCAGCTCTCACAGACTGGCAAACAGCAGTGCCTGCGAGGAGGAGAGGAGGAAAGAAAGATCCCCATGCCCATCGCTGTGGTGAGGGATGGCCCCGACATGCAGCTCGTCTGAGTGGGTTTGTCTGGAGACAGGTGGGTGGCCACCAGGATGCTGAACCTGGCCATGAGAATGACATGCTGAAGGGCAAGTAGGAAACGCCTCGGGCAAATTCACAAGGAGCCCAAACCCTGTGATGTGAGGTTTACAGAGCAGAGCACTCGAGGTCCTGCAGGTACAGCATGGCAATAAATAACACTTGGCTGCTCCAAGAAAGGCCCCGGTCCCACACGTCCTGCTGAGTCAGCAGTGACCTTTGTCTTGCAGCATTCCTGACACAAAAACATAAATTTCAGCAATGTGGAGAACATGACTCTCAGATTAGAGATTAAGGATAATTACTGCTCCTAGCTAAATTGGAATAATGCATTTTCCCATAAACCAGTGGCAAACATTCATGTCATTTGGACGCTTAATGGAATGGTAATTGTTGATCTTCTTAGATTTTCTTAGACGTTTTCTTGGGAAACAAGCATGCAATTATGATGGCTGGCAGCAGTCTGGTACAGTCTCCAGTCCTGGCATCAGCCAGGGCACACTGGCAGCAGAAGGGTTCCAGTCTCCTTGGGTGCATACAGCACAAGAAGGAAGCATCCTATCTGTCCTAAAACTGCTGGGGAGCCAGTGCTCAATGTAACCATCCCTAGATCCCCTGGATTTGGGCTGGACAACCCCACTCCAGTGTGGGAACTATTCTTCCTGGGCAGTACTGTGTTCCTAGCCCTGGACGGGCAGTAAGCAGGTTTTTGCTCACTCTCTTTTAGAACCTCCCCTAGGAGACGGGTAGAGAAAGAAAGTATCTGTCTCTCCATAACACTGGGGGAAGACATCCATCAGCTGCTGTATGTGAGGGCTCTGCTTGTCTTCAGGAGAAGGCAGAAGCTCTGGTCACAGTATGGTGTCCCTCTGCCTTAACTCCTTGGCCGAGTGGTGCAGAGATTTGCAATCATACTGTTCATACCCGTTCAGGTCCCCCTGAAGAGAGAGGTCACACTGCAGACTAGCAGTAGTGTGTTATCCAGCTTGTCTTTCCTTGATCCTAAGCCATTTGCATTCATCAGGAACAGCAGAGGACCTCAAGGACATGCCTGGAGGCCTGTAAGAGGCAAACTTTGCATGCCTAACTTCTCACCATACATAGCACACACACCCCTATGCAGCTATCCTTGGGTCAAAACATAGATCCGTTCCTGGGCTGACTTAAAACAGCAAGTAACAACAGAGATGACCAGAAACTAGAGCCTCATTAGCACAGAAGAGAGAGACATACTGCCAGAACTCAGAATGGCAGTCTGCAGAGCCAACCACTGTACCTGGATTGACAATGTGCAGAAACAGACCCTCCTAAACTCCTCAATTGAGTTACTGCTTTGTATTTTTATTTTTGTGAGCCCCCTTGCCTGCCCTGCCAGCAGAGGGTCTGCTTTCCCAGCCTGCACAGGCTGTTGCTGGAGCACAAACCTATTCCTTGGTTTCTTTCAGATTCCCCTCAGTACTTCTGTGTTGTAGTTTTTCTTAAACTTACCGTTTGTGATTAACTCTTCAAAATCTTATTGCTACTTAGCCCATTTTCCTAGCTCAGTGCTGAAAGCATATGTGTAGAAGACTCCCTGAAAAACGGGTTAAGTGGATGGAAGATGCCTATGGAAAGCAGCACACTTCAAATGGGGCCTGACATGACTGAAGCCAGCTGGAGTCACATTTTGTCATCTTACAGAAAAACTATTTAAAAGTTTTTGTCCTGCACTAAGCAGCAAGTTAAGGAAGTCAAGTTAGGGAGAACAGTCTGCAAGTAGGCATTTTTTTTCAGCTGTGCCTGCTAATTTGCATGGGTGGCATCTGCACATGGATCAAGTGGACGTGCAAATGGATACGCTTTTCTGTAAGAAAGCTCTACGAACCCTTGCAGCTTTTCCAGTCAGAGCAGTTGCGGGAAAAGCTCACCTGAGTCTGAGTCGTCTGGGCTGACAGAGCTCAACAAGTCTTTCTCTTTTTCATAGTCACTTTTGCAGAGCAATTGCCCTTCCTTGAGAACAAATTCATCCCCTTTCCTCAGCTGTCGCTCACACACGCAGCAGCAGAAGCAGCTCAAGTGGTAAACACACTCCAGGGCTCTCATCACGAATTCTGTCGGGGCAATCTTCTCCATGCAGCCACTGCACTTGGCAGCAAACAGCCTGTCAGAGAGAGGCAGTACAGTCAAAGGCAACGTCAGATCATACACTGCATGGATTTAAATACAGCGAGTTATTTAATTTAACTACAGATCAGCTTGGCTGATGCTTTCACGCACTGGGAGACTTGCATCCCTAGTCTTGGAAACATCACAGGCATGCAATTTATTCAAATCTCAGTCCCTTTGGTCTAGAGATTCCCAAATCACCTTTGCTGGATAAAAACCACTAAGATTTATCCTTATCTCACTGTTTTGTTCCTGTTCAAAAGAGAAACAAAAAGGACCTCTCAGAGTTTGGATGACTCGTTCAAAACCTAATTTATTTTAATTCACTTTTCAGAGGCAGGGCCAGTTCACACTCTGTATTATACAGGCTCTCTAGTTCCGACTCTTAAACCATATTCTGAATAGATTTCATGACTTTCCATTTTTGGCATTGTCTGTCTGAGGAGACTGATAAATGGACACAGAAACAAGCGTGAAAACTTAGTGCTATTGCTGAGAAGACAACACACACATGCAGTCCCACACATGCAATTGATAGGAGTGAAATAACATGGCTTTTCTTTGGATGTTGAGTTATTCCAGAACAACCTGTCTCTGAAGGGAGTACTGTGCATTTTAAATTGTGTGAAACGTCCTTTGGCAGATATAGGCAGTGATACAATCTGCTAAATTACCACTATAATCACAGGTTCTAGAATATACACCATATTCCAGACTAGTTATTATTAAGCCTTTATAAACCCCCTCTTTCATCCATCATTAATTTTCTAAGATAAAGTGAGAATGACTTAGATTAATTTTATTTTGCTTTTCTAATGGCAACTGGAATCTCCCTAAGTGAGCTTTTTGAAAGAGAGCTGCTTCAAATAAAGATGAATAGCTGAGTTACATCCCTGTATGACACAGTGGGCTTGGTGATTTGAAATTCAGTGTCTTTCTGGCAATATATCAAAGTGCAAGGTGCACTGATATTTACATTTCAGCGATGAAACAAACAAAACTGCACCCAAGTGCCCACCAGAAAAAAAAGGAGATTCCGCCTTTTAGGGTAAGGTATGCTGATTCATTTTTTCAGCCTCAAAATTATCCCCTTTTTTATAAAGGCTGATCATCTTTGGTTTTAGAAGGCACAGGCTGTGGTAGTTACCGATTCCTCCAAAGCCTCCATTTTGTATGAGCTGAGAAGCACAGCAAAATGGCAGTTACTGGCTCCTCAGCAAGGATGGAGCCACGGAATGGGCAGGAGGGAAAAAATGTAAATACATTTGCATACAGCATCCAAAGAAAGGCTGAGTGCCCAAGAACTTGAGGCTTCTCCCCATCTCTTTTGATCCAATCAAGGATCTGCACTGTGAACCTTGCTGGCTTGGGGCACCTCTGCACAACCACAGCCACAAGGGCACAGCCATGCAAGGTGCACTGGGTGGCTCTTTTTTGGGTACACGATGAATTAAATCTATTAAGGGGAAACTGACGCCATGCAGGAACCACAGCCCCTGCTGATAAATGGGCCATCTTATTTCATACAGGCTAATGGGTTTGTCTGCAAGGTTTTTCTTCTGTTAGATGCAAACTTCAACAGAAAACCATTCTTTTATGTTCTGACTAGTAAACATCACAAAAATACGTTTTAGCTATCGAATTCATAAGCAGAAAATATTTCTATCTATACACAATAACATATTTGAAAGGATTAAAACACAAATGGGAAAAAAAAAAAAAGAGAAAACTGATTTTAAGCCCTTACAAAGTTGTTTCTATTTAACTGCCTAAACCTATTTGGCTCAGTTCAATTAAGCCTGCATCGTTTGTCCGTGAACTGTTACTATGATAGAGCACACTTAAAAGCTCCCAAGATTAGCCAATGTAGTGTGAAGGCATCAGGCTGGGCGGCCCGGCCGCCCCGCAGCCCCAGCCCCGCAGCCCCAGCCCCGCAGCCCCGCAGCCTCAGCC